GCTCTTTCTTTGCTGTGAGCTAACGTGGCGAGGACAGAGGCAGAGTTCGCGATGGAAACACGATGAACTGTGCTCCACCATGTGCTGTGAATCTGTGATGTAGTGTTTGGACAGGAAGTCAAGGAAGTGACAGCAATGACTTCCAGAGAACACAGAAAGTGTCCGGCTGTGTGAACACTGTGGTTCAGTTCTGAGACCTCCAGGATCGTCTCACGCCTGTTCACCAGGTCCATCCAGACAGCACCCAGAGACTGCAGCCTGACGGCCCATCAGACGCAGCATGTCTCACTGCAAACTAGAACGAAGGATCCAAAATTTGTGTTGTGCTGCGCTCTGCTTGTACGTCATTTTTTGCGACTGCTCTACGTATATACGAGAAGCGCCTGCACCTTGTCGCTTCTAAACGTCTTTGACTTTGTGTCCTCTACGACAGTTTGTGTTTTATTCTGTCCAAACCTTTAATAAAAACGTATCCCTCATCCTTAAAGAAGAAAGCTTTGTCCTGACTACTGAAGAATTCCTCGTTTCCAGAACGCTGCTTTCCCTCTGCAGAGCTGTGCAGTTCCTCGTACGTGCACGTAAACCTGTGACAAACAGTTCACCGAACTCAGACACGCACAGAACGCTTTCCTTCATTGTGCAGTTGAACTTACCACAGCTGTAGGCTTAGTTTCTATTGGTAGGACGAAGGTGCGACACACGCGAGTACTGCGCTCTACTGCACCTGTGCTTGTGCTGCACTTTACTTGGCACAGCTGGAAAACCGTTACTGCACGAGGCAAACAACAGACATGAATGGGTTTCAGAGCGCAGCGCTGTGCTGCGTCCGATGTGAAAGGACCTTAACTCAGGCTGGACTGAGTCCCGTGCACGCTTACATGTGTATGCCTCCTGGTTGTTATTTACGTACCTGGGTTCTCTGAGTCTGAGCAGTGACTTTTTTGATAGTTCGTCCCTGAATGCAGCACCGCGCTGGTTTCCCTCACAAAAAGCCGGTGGCATTTTTCTGCACTCAGACGACTTGACTTGAACTTCTGTCGTCTCGCTGAGTCTCGCTGAGCGGCGTGTTACCAAACACCCTCTCTGGGTTCACGCAGCATTCAGTGAATGTGCTCAGTGATGTATGTCATGTCGTAGAGCAGAATGTGAAATGTCTAAGTTCTGTAAACACACATTTTGTTTTTCAGTTTGAATAAAATATGAATTTTCTGCAGGTGAACGCTCAGTGTTTGCCGGAGGGTTTCTGATGTTAGTGTTGGGGTTCACGGCTGTGGAGCTCTCAGAGAGTGAGTGCACGTGTTAACTCCTCCCTCTCTGTCTCTCTGTGTCCTGCAGACCCGGCTGAAAACTCTCCGGCCGACAAGAAGTCCAAGAAGGCAACTCCAACCTCAGAGAGTGAGTTTCCAAAATATGCAGCAGCAGCCTCTTTCCTTTTGTCCCAATAAGGAGCTGCAGGCTGGGATCACTGGTTCCCACACACACACACACACTCAGGCGGGTGTTTCTATTTTAAAGGGTCTCTGTGTATCACTGGAAACATCAGTTCCTTCATCACTGTCACATTATTATTCCTACCTCCAGAGCAGTAAACCTTCATTAACACTACGTTTCCCATCAGCCCTGCTGCTTCCCACACACACACACACATGCACGCATACACACGCACATGCACGCACACACACGCATATGCGCGCGCACACACACACACTCCCCCTGTAGATGATAAACATGTTCACCCTGGAGACGTTCCTTGCAGGGGTCACACCTGTGCATCATGAATGAGTCACACCTGGAAACAAACTGTGCAGACAGCTGGGCTAAAACACACATTCTGCTACAAACAACAACTTTGTGGTTACAAGTAGTAACTTTGTTTGGTTTGTAGCTGTGTCCTGATTGGTCAGCTGGTTTGTAGCTGTGTCCTGATTGGTCGTAATGTTTCTGTATGCAAAGAGAATAAAGTCTTACTTTGGTAGAAATCCTAAGATC